AGGGTTGGGAGAGGTGTTCTCCAATGGTTGGTCAGTCACCCTAACTTACCTAAGTTTACAGGCCAAAACAAATTCCACAATGGAATCGAGCAAGCAGGTCTGGACATCCGGGACGGCTAGGAGGGAGGCAAAAGTGATAGGTGAGTTGATGAGAGGCGATGAAGTGTCGCCAACACACAGACGGGGCGAGGGCAAGGGGGCCGCTCCTGAGGCTCCAGGCCACACTCCGGGCACAGCGGACCACCGGGGCCCCTCACGGTGAGGCTGACCCCCGGCCCAGCTGCGTCCCGGTCTCCCCTCCTGAATCAGGTGCTGCAGAAGCTGCGTCCGCCAGGGCACTGATGACCGTTTCCAAGGAGCCGGCTGGGGTTCTAGAAGCCACAGGTCATTGACCTCGCGTGGGGTCGGGGGAAGGGCAGCGTGTGGTCCCGAGAGCGCGTCCTCTCGGCCTGTGCCCGTCCCCCAGGGTGACATTCAGCCGTCTGCGCAGTCACCGCGGGCCAAGGGCCGTGCCAACACCCAGGTCGCCCTGAGCCACTCCGCCCGAGCCTGCCTCAGTCTCCTGCTCCCTTACCTTGTTCGCCGGTGGGAGCCGGCGAGNTGCCCCTCACGGTGAGGCTGACCCCCGGCCCAGCCGCGCCCCGGTCTCTCCTCCTGAATCAGTTGCTGCAGAAGCTGCGGCCGCCAGGGCACTGATGACCATTTCCAAGGAGCCGGCTGGGGTTCTAGAAGCTACAGGTCATTGTCCTCGCTTGGGGTCGGGGGAAGGGCGGCGTGTGGTTCTGAGAGCGCTTCCTTTTGGCCTGCGCCCGTCCCCCCGGGTGACATTCAGCCGTCTGCGCAGTCACCGCAGTCCAAGGGCTGTGCCGACGCCCAGGTTGCCCTGAGCCGCTCTGCCAGAGCCTGCCTCAGTCTCCCGCTCCCTTACCTTGCTCGCCGGAGGAGGCTTCGCGGCGGGCGGTGTGCCGCTGATCGCTCCGGACGAGCTCGGGGCCAATGAAGGCAGCCCGAGTCCGGCGTCCATCCGTCCACCCGCCTGCCCCACGCCGTGGCCCCTGTGCCCAGCTCCCTAGTCACTAAGGCCAGCCCACGGTCGGACACTGGAAGAGCCTCTTGTAGTTAATACTATAATTTGATGTCTTTGCACTGATCTGTCCCAGGGAGGATGCCTCAGGGTGTGTGTGCATATGTGCCCATATGTGTGCATGATCTGTGCATGCGTATGCATGTGTGTGCCCACACGTGTGCATATGTGCGTGCGTGTGTGCCATACATGTGCACTCAGTATTTGTTCACGGCGATTATCATCTTCCAGCGGGCCTGGAGCCGTATGCGTTGCAGCACAGTTTGTATTCTATGTCATTTTTCCTGTGATAGGTAGCAAATTCTTTGAGTTGATTTCTATGAGTGCTGATTGATTTTCACCAAACCATTTTACCTCTTTCAGTCTCTTCCTTTTGTAACTTTTGGCAAGTAGTTGCAGACTTAACAATTGTCTCT